TCAGTTTTGAAAATTGAAAAAAAAAAAAAAAATTTCGTCTTCGTTCTGATACATTGCGTTATATGTGTTAAATTGTGGGCAGGGTTTTACGGGCCGCGTTTTAAAATTTCTCATCCCCTCCCTCCTCTGTCTTGCTTGCTCCTCCATTCTCTCGCACACTCTCTTTTCATTTACTCTCTCTCTTTATTCCTCCTCCTCCCTCCCTCCCTCCCTCCCTCCCTCCCTCCCTCCCTCCCTCCCTCCCTCCCTCACTCACTCATTTACTCCTCTCTCTCTATCTCTCCTTCTTTCTCTCTTTCTCTTCTGTTTCTCGCTGTCTCTCTCTCTTTCTCGCTTTCGCTTATATCTATGTCTCCCTGATCTCTCCATCTCTCTCTCTTTTCTCTGGCTTTCTCCTTTCTCATTGCTCTCCCCAAGCATACGACGCAGCGACGCACTCGCCACACTCGCGTCGACCTGCGCTTCCTCTCTCTTCTTATATCTTCCTCACAACTGTTAAAAACCGGGCCGTTAACGTCTTCCAACGCTGTTACCTTCTGCCAGTCCTCGTCTCTCGCCGGAGGAGAAGGCATCGCGACGAGGAGGCTAGGAGTGGACGGGGCGGCGGCGAGTCTCTGCGCTGGCTGAGGATGAGAAGCTGGTGCGCGCATCGCTCGGGCTCGGCGTCGCCTTACGCTCGCTGAGTTTCCGACTGCCCGCAGACGCGAGCGCTAAGAAGACTCGAACGGCCTCAAGCAGATTCTTACGCGAAACTGCGCCTGCAAGGTGACGTCTGCCTGCGCGCTTGTAACTGGACTCGGTCGTTGGTCAACGAGTGACTGACGCGGTGGTCATAGACTGAGCCCCAAGCGTGTCAAACGACGTGACTGACGGCGTGGTTCAAACGGATGACCGACCCGGCAGTCAAAACGATGTGACTGGAAACTGAGTGGTCAAACGAGCTGACCGACCAGGTGGTCATTCAAACGCACCTGTGACGCCGATCCGGGCCGGGTCAACGGGCGTTGACTAGGATGGGTGGTTATTAAGACGAGTGACCGACCAGGTGTCAAACCGAGTGCCCAAACCGGCCATCAAACGACCGGTGACTGAGCAGCGAGGTGCGGTCAAACGACGAGCTGGGGTGACCAACCGGCATCTTACACTTGAAGCCCAAAATAGTAGATGCACCAGACATGGGGCTCAGGGATCAGTAATATTAACTATGTCGATATAGTAATATAGAAATGTACAGACAGCACACAAAGGGACGGTAGCGTGTAACCTTTTGTACTTTTCTTTCAACGATGTCTTTACTATTGTAGCTATGAATCAATTTAGCTGATAGAATGTGACATGACGAAAATGAGTATGAACTTTAGAGGATGAGTGTTGGTCTAGTGTAAAATTCCCACTGGCGTGTCACTCAATGACTTCGCTGCTAGATAGAGTGAGTGTGATGTACTATATATAGATTTCCATCGATTACCAGATACTGGAGAATCAACATCGGTTATACCTTGAGAACTTGTCTTGAAAAAGGTACTTAGTAAGGAAACTTTTCAACATACTGATTATAGCTATGTGACTTTAATGTTTTCGGAGGTTGACTCAGACTGGTGTGTGTTAACTACGTGTGAGTGAATTACATCCTGCGATTAGTCCCGTGTCACATATTCATTTGTTAGTCAAATTTTCACTAGAAGTAGAATCCGAAATGTTTCTCTAGACACTCCTATGAAGACCAATTTGCACCAGACTAGAAATTCCCGGCCAAGGACGAATCACTATTGAATCAAAGTGTTTTGTGATAATGCAAACATTGATAGAGTGAATGCACAGGATATATCACTAGAAACGACTGTCAAGATACTATTCGATACTCCACATCTAGTCAAATGACAATGTATTTAATATTAACGATGCGCATGAAATTGGCTTCAGGGCCTTGCACAGCAGGGGCAGATGTTATTTACTTTTGTTGTTTATTAATAAAGCATAAGTGTCGTTAATCCATGTTCAGCTGCATAGTCTCAAACAAAAGCATTAACTGTTCAAAAAGTGAACTCATTGACATTGATAATACTGCAGGACCAAGATGTTAATGTACCAGCAGAACAGGGCAGAAGCTCAAACCCTCCTCCAGAGGTTTTTGATTTCTCTAGGCGCATAATCGATTCCCAGCATTTCCTCGATGCCCCAAAACAGCTTAACCTGAGATTGAGAGACTTGAGTCTGGCGTGACCGGTAGTGGCCAGCAACATATACAGCTGGCGATGCCCTCGAAGTTATGACGTTGAAGGGAGCGCGGTGAGGTTGACCGGGGACGCCGGAGTTGTAAATTAGCCGCAGTTCCAGTTTGTAGTTAGTAAGTAAGTAAGTAGCATCGAAGAGGCGAAGCGAAAAGAGTAAAACAGAGATGGGCAGAGCAGACGTGGAGTGGCGTGGTGTGTTTACTGGTTCGAGTTATACGGTGTGACACGGTATCTTACTTCGCATCTATGCATGCGTGCCTGGAGCGGTTCCGAAGCCACACAATATCCGCGTATGAATTCAGTAGAACGATAGGTCACATGCGCAGTTGTTTACAGATGTGTGTACTGCGTGCAAGACGTGCGCGAACTATGCAGACCCCATCTCCTACCACCGGATACACTTCATTTCCTGTTTCGTACATTCGAGGTTTAACGTCTTTACGTCTAACGTCTTTACGTATTCCCCATACGTCTGGCCGCCGTCGCCTCCTTTCTACACAAACTTGAGGAAAAACGAGGTGGTGTGAGAAAACTAATAGTATTTATTACCTGGTGGTAATGGGGCCATCCTTAGCGATGGTTGTTTATTGGGGACTGTATTTTATTGTCTTGATAAACGCTCGGTGAGACGTTACCACGGCCCTGAGCCACTGCTGCGCATACGTTATCCACGTAAACTGTATATTAGCAAAATATATAAGGTTACATCTAGTATTGTGTATTTTTAATTTCACTAGCAAAATACTTCTGTTGCTCTGCGGATATGCTACCTGCATGAGTCAGGAGTATTGTTATCAGTGTATATATGTTGCGATTATCTCATTGGTTGATATCTTTGCGCCAGTGAGTGCATATTATCAGGAGTTAATAATGACAAATTTGTCATTATTAACTCCTGATATTATGTATTGAAGCACTCAGGTTATCCCATAGAAAAACAATGGTGAGTATAGTTTGAAATGATCGCTCTATGTTCTGATAACAGGCGGGTAACAGGAAGCGGTTAGGTGTACGAAATTTGTGTGTGAACGCCTCAATTGATGCTTATAAATGAGTACATTCAATATAGGTACGTGTGTTGTGTAACTTGTGTATATATAATACCTACGTGAGATACTGTACGCTTTATATTTTGCGTTTTTGTATTAAAACCGTTTACGTATACACGTGAATTTTGTTCTGTATGTTGTGCCACACTACCTCGGTGAGTTTTGTGGCACCCACAAAACACCCACAAAACAAAACACCCACAAAACACACCCACCCACAAAACACCCACAAAACACCCACAAAACACACACACACAACACCCCCAAAAAAAACCCACAAGACACACCCACCTGTGTCTTTTCGAACTATCAGAATGTGTAGCTGCAAACTGGCCGATTGACTGCTGCTACTGCATGTCCTATCTACACTATACGCGCAATGTGTGTGCCGGACACGACGCTGACATAGTAACAATGACACGTCGCCCTCGCATACCTGCGCCTGCCTGTGGCAATACATCACGGCTGTATGCTCACAAATCGAGGATGGCCTTGCCAAAAGCCACCGAGCGCGAGTCTCCGTGCGGCCTGCAGCCTTGACTTATAACGAACGCCGTGTTCGATATGAAAGTGATTTGAAATTCCAGAAATCCGCCGGCGCGTATAGACGAACATCGAAGTCTACAGCACCTCTATGCTTATTATTCCCGAACTGACGTCGGGCGCGTCTGTTTGGATTCGGATTTGCGGGCGTCCGACCTTGGACGTCGGATGCTATATGTTTCACTTGATGGGGTTTTGGTTGCGTTGCCGTATGATCATGTTGCTGACAGCCACACATCAGCGGTCGGGTTAGCTCTAGTACTATAGCCCGCGTACAGTTGCCGCAGGGCTATAGAACATTTTATGCCAGGTTTCGTAACTGCACCTGTCCCCCAATGCTTTCACGAAAAATGGCTCACAAAACGCAAAATGATCGGGCTTTTTAACACTTATTTATCTACATGGACATCTCACCTATCTTTTAACCGCCTATTATTTTTCCGTCTGCGGCAACTGTACGCGATCTATAGTACTAGAGCTACAGTCGGGTCAACAGCTACCGGCGTGTTCACACCGAACCTGTATAGAGAGAGGCTGGTGAATATGTGACCGCAATACGCACGCGCAGGCCAGAACAGAGGGGGCAAGTGGGCCAGTTCGCATGGGCCTACGATTTGAAGGGTACCTATACTCCCCCTGGTAGAGACTGAGGGGGACCCTTTGGTAACGAATATTGATATTGTAATTAGAGTCAAGGGGGATCATTTAGCACAAAATATTAATATTTTAAAGAAGAATCATAAACGATTAATACACATGTATATAAATCCATACATAAATCATATGTATTTAGCACTGATTACAATGAAACATAATGAAACATTTGAAATGGTGCCTACCTTTCCCAGCTGGGGGTGGAGGACGACGCATTAGCGAGTATATAGGATGTACTTGTTTGCGGCCGTAGTTTCTTTCTTGTACGCTCTCTGTAGGGGGTGATGGCTCGCGATCAATTAGATGACGGGCGGATAAGTCTTCGACGCGGTCTCTCGTGGAAGATAACCGTGCTTTTGTTCCTAGTAGTAGCTATAGAAGACATTCGGCTTCGGCCGACTTCGGTAACGTTCGGATTTCCCGGAAATGTCGCCTGACACTAATAACTATCCGTTATACAGGTAACGCGTAACGTCACCTGATTTAAAGAATCAATATTTTGCAAAGCACCGTTCCCAACTCAATTCACAATGAATTTCACCAAAATTGCGATAGATGTCCCGTAAACATTTGAGTAAAACACATGCAATACAATAATACCCACCAATCAATTCTCGTATCCGGAGGTCTAAGCGCGAATAGTTTTTTTTCCCGAGCGCTTGCCCTTTGATATTGCGTACTTATTTTTGTCGTCGACTCCGCTACTGACCGCTTATACAGATTATAACCAGAATCTTCCAGCCACGTCACTTCCTATTAGAAACTGTGACGTCAATTCCAATAAAACGTAACGTCACTATATTTTAAAACCCCGTTTTTAAAAATCACTTCCTGAAAACCGTCCCTTTCTGTTCAAAAGTCCTAAGATCTTCACTACTATGGTGAGTCAATCCCAGTTAGTTGATTTCATGCGAGTCAATTACTGGTGAATCAAAGCAACACGACGTTGCTACCGGTTTACTAACACCTCTACTATGTATATCTATCTACTGTGAGCGGGTCCAGCCATATGCAGTTTTCTTCTCTACTCGAAAGCGAAAGTTTATATACCCGAATTACCTTTCGCGGCAACGGCTTTGGGTCCTCTAGCGGCGCATGGTTTGTATAGCAACCCCCCAGCAAGTGGCGACAGAATGCGCGCACGATT